TGATATTGGTCTGTTTAGGTTGTCTATATCCTCCTGACTCAATCTGGGCAGATCATATGACTTAAGAAATTTATCTATGCCTTCACTATCTTCTAATTTATTGGAGTATAAGGATTCAAAATAATTTTTGATTATCTTCTGTATTTCTGAAGTGTCTGTTGTGATATTGCCTTTTTCATCCCGTATGCAACTAATTTGAGTTCTCTCTCTTCTTCTCTTCGCTAGCATGGCTAAGGGTCTGTCGATTTTGTTTATTTTTTCAAAGAACCAACTTTTAGTTTTGTCAATTTTTTCAATTGTTTCTTTTGTTTCGATTTCATTAATTTCAGCTCTGATTTTAATTATTTCTTGCCTTCTACTTCTTTTGCTGTTGTTTTGCTCTTCTTTTTCTAGGATTTTGAGATGAAGTATGAGATCATTTATTTGTTGGTTTTTTCTTTTTTTAAGGAATGAACTCCAAGCAATGAATTTTCCTCTTAGAACTGCTTTCAATGTGTCCCATAGATTCCGATATGTTGTGTCTGTGTTTTCATTTATCTCTAAGAATTTTTTAATTTCCTCCTTGATGTCTACTATAACCCATTGATCATTCAGTAACCTATTGTTCATTCTCCAAGTGATGTATGCTTTTTCCTTCCTTCTTTTATTGTTGATTTTCAGTTTCATTCCATTATGATCAAATAAGATGCATGGTATTATCTCTACTCCTTTATATTGTCTAAGAGTTGCCCTGTGACATAATATATGATCTATTTTTGAGAAGGATCCATGTGCTGCTGAGAAAAAAGTGTAACTGCTTGATGTTGGGTGGTATACTCTATATATGTAAATTAGGTCTAGGTTATTAATAGTGTTATTGAGTTCTATAGTTTCCTTATTCAACTTTTGTTTGGAAGATCTGTCCAGTGGAGAGAGAGGTGTGTTGAAGTCTCCCATGATTATGGTATGGTGGTCTATTAGACTCTTGAACTTGAGAAGAGTTTGTTTGACGAACATAGCTGCACATTGTTTGGGGCATAAATATTTATGATTGTTATGTCTTGTTGGTGTTTGGTTCCCTTAAGCAGTATGTAGTGTCCCTCTTTATCCCTTTTGATTAACTTTGGCTTGAAATCTATTTTATTTGATATGAGTATGGACACTCCTGCTTGTTTCCGAAGTCCATATGAGTGATATGATTTTTCCTAACCTTTCACCTTCAGCCTATGTATGTCTTTTCCTATCAAATGTGTCTCCTGTAGGCAGCATATTGTTGGGTCTTGTTTTGTGATCCATTCTACTAGCCTGTGTCTCTTACTTGGTGAGTTTAAGCCATTAACATTTAGGGTTATTATTGAGATATGGGTTGTTGTTCCAGCCATATTTGTTTATTTCTGTTACTAAACATGGTTTGTTTTCCTCTTTGATTATTTTCCCCCCGTTTACTGTCCTACCTCCCACTGTTGGTTTTCATTGTTATTTTCCATTTCCTCTTCCTGTAATGCTTTGGCGAGGATGTTTTGAAGAGATGGTTTTCTAGCTGCGAATTCTTTAAACTTTTGTTTATCGTGGAAGGTTTTAATTTCATCTTCCATCATGAAGCTTAGTTTCACTGGATACACAATTCTTGGTTGGAACCCATTTTCTTTCAGTGTTTGAAATATGTTATTCCAGGATCTTCTAGCTTTCAGAGTCTGTGTTGAAAGATCAGCTGTTATCCTGATTGGCTTACCCCTAAATGTAATCTGCTTCCTTTCTCTTGTAGCTTTTAAAATTCTCTCCTTATTCTGTATGTTGGGCATCTTCATTATAATGTGTCTAGGTGTGGATCTCTTATGATTTTGCACATTCGGCGTCCTGTGGGCTTCTAGGATTTGGGATTCTGTCTCATTCTTCAAGTCTGGGAAGTTTTCTTGTATTATTTCATTGAATAGACTGCTCATTCCTTTGGTTTGGAGCTCTGTACCTTCCTGTATCCCAATGACTCTTAAGTTTGGTCTCTTAATGTTATCCCATATTTCTGGGATGTTCTGCTCATGGTTTCTTAACAGTCTTGCTGAGCTGTCTATGTTCTTTTCCAGTTGAAATACTTTGTCTTCATTGTCTGATGTTCTATCTTCTAAGTGTTCTACTCTGCTGGTAGTATTCTCCATTGAGTTTTTAAGTTGGTTTATTGCTTCCTGAATTTCTAGGATTTCTGATTGCTTGTTTTTTATAACCTCTATCTCCCTGTATAGTTGATCCTTTGCTTCCTGGATTTGTTTGCGTAATTCGTTGTCGAAGTGATCTTTCATTGTCTGATTTTGCTGTTTAATGTCTTCCTTGATACTCCAGATCATCTGAAGCATGTATATCCTGAATTCTTTATCTGACATTCCATCTGCTGCAGCTGTTACCTCTTCTAAAGTTGCGTTGACCTGCATTGCTTGTGGTCCTTTCTTTCCTTGTCTTTTCATACTGCTTGCGTATCTTTCCTGCAGGCGCGGGCGGCGGCTCTGCTCTCTCCTTATTCCAATTGGGGTGTCGTGGCTACCACGCCGGCAGGTCACTGGGCCTATTCTGGGCGCTGGCGGCGGCTCTGTTCTGCCCCTACTCCAATTGGGGTGACGAGTGTACCACGCCGGCAGGCCACCGGGCCTGATCCGCCGGTCGGTTGCGGGTTTGCCTACCCTGCAGGCACGGGCGGCAGCTCTACTCTGCCCCTACTCCAAATGGGGTGACGTGTCTGTCGTACCGGCAGGCCACTGGGCCTGTCCCGCTGGTCGGTCGCAGATCTGCCCACCTTTCGGGCACGGGTGGAGGCTCTGCTCTGCCCCTACTCCAATTGGGGTGTCGTGACTACCCCGCCTGCAGGACGCTGGGCCTGTTCCTGGCACGGGCGGCGACTCTGCTCTGCCCCTACTCCAATTAGGGTGGTGTGTGTACCACGCCAGCAGGCTCCTGGGCCTGATCCGCCGGTCTGTTGCAGGTCTGCCTACCTTGGAGGCGCGGGCGGCGGATCTGCCCTGCCCCTCCTACCACGCCTGCGGACCCCTGGGCCTGATCTGCAGGTTGGTCACAGTTCTGCTCACCCTGCGGGCACGGGTGGCGGTTCCGCTCTGCCCCCACTCCAATTGGGGTCACGTGGCCACCACACCGGCAGGGCCTGATCCAGGCGTGGGAGAAGGATCTGCTCTGCCCCTACTCCAGTTGGGGTGACGTGTGTACCACACTGGCAGGCCACTGGGCCTGACCCGCCAGGCTGTCACAGGTCTGTTTACCTTGCAAGCGTGAATGGCGGCTCTGCCCTGCCCCTCCTACCATGCCCATGTACCACTGGATTGCGGGTCTGCCCACCTTGCGGGTGCGGGTGGCGGCTCTGCTCCGCCCCCTCTCCAATTGGGGTCACGCGGTCACCACGCTGGCGAGCCGCTGGGCCTGCTCCGGGCGCTGGTGGCGGCCCGGCTCCTCCCCTCTGGCTCGACGACAAATTGAGGAGACTCGGGTGTCTGTGCCTCACCCCCCCTACCAGGAGACCAACTGTTTATGTCACCGCTGGTATTGATGAAGTTCTCTCCTCCACCGCTTTCTGATGACATCAGATCTCTGCCATGTTGGTATCCTATGCGAATGGCAGCATTTCGTTCCCCTTGCCGGGCAACCAAAGCAACGGGTGAGTCCTGACCGGCCCTCAGCAGGACCCGGACCGAGAAGCAGTTTCCGCGGGCTCCTAGCCCCGGGCCAGGGAAGTTCCGGGAGCCGGAACTCGGCCGCTCCGTGCTCGGTGTAAGCTCCTATAAGAGTAGGCTCCAAGAAGCAGTCCCCGCGGGCTCAGTTCCGGGAGCCGGAATTCGGCCGCTTAGTGCTTGGTGTATGCTCTGATAGGAGCAGGGTCCAAGAAGCAGCCTCTGCAGGCTCTGCAGCCCTGGGCCAGGGCGGTTCCGGGAGCCGGAACTCAGCCGCCCCGCGCTCGGTGTTCGCTCTGATAAGATCAGGTTCTAAGAAGCACCCAGGCACTGAACCCTAGCAATCTGTCTGCAAGCCGCAGGCGAATGGCAGCCTGAAATTACCTGTTCTATGGCTGAATGAGCTGCGGTCAGTCGAAAACAGGGATGGTGACGTCAGCTTTCCAACATGGTGGCTGCTGGCCTCCTCTGTGGTCTGACCGGTGTGGAGAACCGAGATGGACCGCTTCCTTCCCCCGTCTCGAACCCAGAATTCAGCCCTGAGTACGGCGCTTGCACGGCTGGCAGAAACTGCAGCGCTGTATCCCTGCGTCGCTATCTCCTCGTTTCCCAGTGCGCGCTGCAGACTCTAGCCGCGGGGCGATTTGCTGAATAAGCAGTGTTACCCTCCGTGCGACAAACCTCTCGCGTTTGAGTCCCCGTAGCCGATCCTCGTGCAATGGAAATCCTTCCTCCAGGTTCCGGAGCACCCCACTATTGCTGGAAATTCCTAACAAGATAGCCTTTAGCCGTCCTGACTTGTCATACTCCCACACAGTGAAGCAGCACACGGGGGCAATGCACTCCCCTCGCCGCCATCTTCCTACTCACATTGTTTTCTGAGAGTTATCTTGAGCAATCAAATCCCAGTGAAATTAGCTCTTTTCTAGGATGAAATAACAAAATATTTAAATCTATAATTAGAAAAGGATTGTCTTTAAAATGTTGAGAAATATCTTTAAAATTCTTAACTTTTGTCTCATGTTAACAATAGGCAAAGAATAAAATGATTTATATTATCACACTAAATATATATCAAGAATACGGCTTTTTATACTGCAGGCACACTCCTACTCCTTTATGTTTAGTCATTTTCTACTTCTAACAATGAGTCTTATAAAAGTCAAAACACTGGTTTTTGAATCAGTGGAAGCTCATGAGAAGCACATCATCCTATCTCAATAATTTGCTTCAGAATGAAGGCCAGCCATTTCTTCTCTGGCACCTATGAATGATCCATCTGTCAAGACTAAAGTAACTGGCCCGAGGAGAGCGAGGTCATGGCGTGAAGGGGTAGGAGCCGCCGCCGGTGCCGCTCGTGAGGGGCCGAGGTGCCAGGCCCGCCGCCATGGCCTACTGCCAGCAGGAAGGGAAAGATCGCATCATATTTGTGACCAAAGAAGACCATGAAACTTCCAGCAATGCAGAGTTGGTGGCCGATGACCCCAATGATCCATATGAGGAACACGGCTTGATACTGCCAAACGGAGACATTAACTGGAACTGCCCGTGCCTGGGGGGCATGGCCAGCGGCCCCTGTGGGGAACAGTTCAAATCAGCCTTTTCCTGCTTCCACTGTAGCACAGAGGGCATCAAGGGGTCAGACTGTGTGGACCAGTTCTGGGCCATGCAGGAATGCATGCAGAAGTACCCGGACCTCTATCCCCAGGAGGACGAGGAGGAGGAGGAGGAGGAGAAGAAGGCAGCGGAACACGGAGAGCCAACGGCTCCCCATGAGGCCACTGTGACCAAAGACGGGGTGGACTCCAGCTAATGCAGGCCCTGAGGCCCCGGGTTCTAGCTTTTCGTCTGCAGAGTGACGTGGACCTTCTGCAGAGAGCCTTTGAGTCACCCACCCTCCGAGAAAGTGTCTTTCCTCTCCTGCTGTGTGCACTGTAATGTACAAAATGACTCATGTCGATGATTGGGGTGACCTGGCCCCCTGACACCATGGGGTCCCAGAATTTTCTATGATAAGAAGTTTCAGAATCAGGAAAAGATATCGTAAGAAGGTAAAGAAAAATTTTAAACTGGCTAAAGTCTCATGAGAGAAAAGGAAACGCGTGCTTTTTATGCACTGTATGAGATATTTTTGCTCATTGATATGTTTATGCTCATAATATATTTATGCTCATTACTAACGAAGGAAATAAGATGAGACACAACTTGAGACTCACAAGATGGGGGAACGTCTTTGGTCACAGTCTTGACTAAAATGAAAACACACACCGCCAGTCTAGGAGGTGAATTTATAGAATCATCTGGGGAAGAAAGTGGCATAAACAGATATAAATAAACACAGGCATGATTTAGGAACGAGCAGATGGTCTCAGTGGTAGGCACTCTAGAGAAGTTATCACCCATGACCAGGAGATGTCCAAAGGACCCTTGTCTCCAGGTTCATGGTCTAAAAGAGTAAACTCAGATTCCTTGGGTTTTGTTTTGGAACATTTGTAGGGTACTGTGGGGATAGGTGCATGCAGTACTGCATACGTGGCATGCTATGGGCGTCTGAGTGGCAGGCCACTCCCCTGGTGCTGGGCATGTGAGTGGCAGCCCTGGGCATGAGGCCATGTGTGGCAGTCCCTGCACTTCTCCACGGCCCACTCCTCGATTGGTCTCTGCAAGGACAGTGAGCAGACATTGCATTGGTGGCTGCCTGTAATCCGCTTAGCTCCTGCCTGAGTGTGTATACATGGTGACTGTGCAATAAAGTCAGACCTCTTCCTGCTTCCAGAGGACTTTTGAGTGACTTTGCCGCCACACTCTCCTCTACCATGTTCCGTGGATGAGAGAGGGTCCACGCAGGGGGTGGGTCCAGCTTCGGTTTTTCCATGTGGATAGCCAGTTCCCCACCATGTTTGCCGCTGTTCAAGGACTGTCTCCACAACAGCACTCACACATGTGGGCGAACCTGTCTCTGGGCTCTCCCTGGGTGTCACTGGTATAGACCTACATGGACGCCACATGGTTCTATTTACTATAACTTGAAATTACACTTGATACTTTTGTGCTCTCATTGTACTCTTCTTCTTTTCATCTTCTCCTTTCCCTATTTCTTTCTCATTTTTCCTCTCTCTCCAATTTTCATTGGTACTCGGGCTCATTGTTATTTGGCATTTATTTCAGATCCGATTGTAAATTTCTAGTGATAGCTGTTGGATTTTGGTTGTTTATTAATTCAGAAGAGATTTTTTTTTATCCATGAAGATAGTATACCTCTTAGTTTATTTCCGTCTTCATTTATGTTTCTATTTTCTACTTAGTTTTGTAAATATCTGTACTAGATCCCTTGGAAATTTTTCTACTAGTATGAATGGTATTATTTTTTAAAATCAGATTTACCATCATCTGCTTGGTAGAGGATAAGATCATTGCTGATTAAGTGTTTATCCTAGCTGTCTTGTTGAATTAATCCATTATTTCTACAAGTTTCTCATCTCTTCTGTTAAGAGAATCTTAGGAGGTGAAAAAAGAAATGAAAAATGTGATTTTTCCATTCTAACGGATTTAGGTTTAAAAAAATTTTTTTCTAGTATGTTTACAAACTCCCTTACAATATTGAATAATTGTAAGGGAGTTTGTAAACTCCCTAGTTTTGCTGATGACTTTATTTATTTTTCTAGTAGTGGGGATAGAATCCAGGGGTGCATCCTCAGTCCCTCCTCATTTTCATTTTGAACCAGGGTCTTGCTAAGTTGCTGAGGGTCTCCTAAATTCCATTTTTGGGGTAGAAAATGGCCACCAGTTACAGAAGGGGTCTGTGTAAAAGTTTACAGTGAGTGTGGCTTAGTCATTGGATATGGAAGCAGAATGTGTTGGTTTGGGCAGTCAGAAAAAAAGTTGTAAAAAGTCTGAAACTCATTGTTACTGGGAAGGGATGAAAGTGCAGAGCCTGGTGCCGATAGGACACCAAATGTACAAAGTTACAACAGATCACACCAAGACACATTTTCATTATAGTGTGTCGTGGTGTAGATCTGTTGTAATACAGATCTAGAATACAGAATAAGGACAGAATTTTAAAGGCCATAAGAGAGAAAAATCACATTACCTATAAGGGAAGACCAATTTGGATCTCAGCAGATTTTTCCACCCAGACTCTCAAAGCCTGGAGATCGTGGGCAATATAGACCAAGCTCTAAAAGACGCTGGATTCCAACCAAGAATCTTACATTCAGCAAAATTCAGCTTCAAGTTTGATGGTGAAATAAAAACCTTCCACGATGAACAAAAGCTAAAAGAATTTGCAGGAAGAAAGCCTGCACTACAGAACACTCTTGGCCAAATATTCCACGAGGAGGAAATGAAAAACAACAATGAAAATCTGCAAAGGGAAGAACTACAACAGAGGAAAAGCCAACCAAGGGAGAAACCAAGTCAAACTAAATACCAAAAATGAACAAAAATGACAGGTAGTATAATCTATGTCTATTTTAACCCCTTTTAATAAACTTTTACACATAGATTTTAACAATATCATCTTATTTTTCAGGGTTTTGCTTATTTTGTATTTTTTTTGTTTTCTATGTCTCTTCACAAAGTTTCACAAATATTTTCTTTAAAAGTTTTAGAGTTTTATATGTTATATTTTAATATATAATTAATCTGGTATGTGTATATACAGTGCCTGTGATAGGAGGTGAGGCATAGTTTACTTTATTATAATTAAAAAACTTTAATTATAAGAATGTAAAATCTTTTTCATTCTAGAATGAAAAAGATCAATCAGGTTAAAAATTTTTTTTAGAGAGAGGATTTTTTAATATTTATTTTTTTAGTTTTCAGTGGACACAACATCTCCATTTTATTTGTATGTGGTGCTGAGGATCAAACCCAGCACCCCGCGCATGCCAGGCGAGTGCACTACCACTTGAGCCACATCCCAAGCCCAGGTTAATTTTTTTTTTAAATAAGGTACTTATAAAGTTAAGGGCAAGGTTGAGGGAAACCAACACATTTTGTGAAGCCCCTTTCCTTCCATAGACTTGGAGAGGTGGGAGGTGAAAGAAGAGAGAGCCATTATGAAAACCTTGTAGGAGAAGATGACCTAACTAAAATTATTCCCACCCAAAGCATGAACTCCCAGTCTAATAGAGTCTTACAGGGAGGAGTGAAACACCTCGCTCTCCTCTGGTACATTCTAAGTTCATCTCTCTGGTGTCCCTTTCTGATGGATCTCAACAAGAAACCATATAAAAGGGGATTTTATCATGCCACCTACAGCATATGTCTCACCAAAAGGCATATGCATATGGCAGCCACCGTTACTTGAAGCCACTGAGTGTTTGAAATGTGTCTGGTGTGAGTGGAGGTGTGCGATGTGTTCCTAGACATTAGATTCCAAAGAATTTCGAGGACAAACAAAATGAACATGAAATATCTTAGCTACTTAGTTAGTCGCAGTATTGGGACTAACAATGATTTTCTTTGCAAATTTTGTTGGTAATCCATTGGGTTAAATGAAAATATATTAAAATTAATTTCTCTATTTGTTTAAAAAAACAGAAGTAAAGGAGACCAGGGTAACATGTTCTGTATCTTGACTGTAGTACTCTGTATCCACATATATGTATGTTGTCATTTTTTTTATATTTGTGTGATCAAAATTCATATAACTGTAAACTAAATAGGGAAAATTGTACCATATATGAATTCTATTTCAAGAAACGTGACTTTAAAAAGAAAGTAAAAAGAAATTTAATACAAAAAAAAAAGACTAAAGTAACTGTCTTATCTACTAGTACTTCATTGTCTAGTTATGATAATATGTCTAACTAGTTTCAGGGGTGTTTGCATAGTGTTGTGCTTTTCTCTAATATCCAACTGTTACAACTATAATCTGAATTCTGCCTGCCTGCTTCCTTTTGGATTCACTTCTTCAGCTGGAGTCCTAATGCATATGTGCTTCTAAAATCCCAATTTGCCTTCAGGTACATTATCTAGTAAACCCAGTGATGTTTTTTAGTTTTCAGTATACAAGTATTGCACCTTCTTGTTTAAGTTTATTCCTAAGAATTTTATTCTTTTGGATGTTATGGTAAGTGGAAGTTTTCTTAGTTTCCTTTTCAGATCATTTTCTGCTGATGTGTAAAAATACAAAAGATTTTTGCATCATGTTGTGTTTCTTCTATCCTGAAATTGCTGAATCCTTTTATTAACTTGAATAAATTGTTCTGAATTTGTTATGATTTTCTATATATGGGATCAAGTCATCTGAAAATAGAAATAGTTTTATTCCTTCCTTCCAAGTATGGATGTCTCTCATTTCTTTTTCTTGCCTAATTACTCCAGTTAGAACTTCTAGTACAATGTTGACTACAAATGGTAAAAGCAAGAATCTTTGTCTTATTCCTGATCTTAGACAAAAAGCTTTCAACTATTCAATATGATATTATCTTTGGATTCTTCATAAATGCCATTAGTCATGTTGGGGAAGTTCCTCTGTATTCCTAGTTTCCTGAGGTTTTTTTGGTTTTTGGTTTTGGGGTGTTTTTTTGTTGTTGTTGTTATGAAAGGGTGTTAAATTTTGACATGTGTTTTACTACTTTTACTCAACTGTGATAATCATATGAAGTTTTTTTCCTGTATTCTATTAATGTGGTTTATTATATTGATTTTTAAATATATAAATCACTTTTGCATTCCTGGGGAAAATCCCACTTAGATCTGGAATATAATTCTTTTAATATGGTGCTGGATTCAGCTTATTAGTAGTACAGTAGTCCCTCCTTATCTGTGTATGACATATTCCAAGACCCTCAGTGTATTCTTGAAACTACAAATAGCACCAGTCCCCTGTATATACTATATGCTATATTTTCTATATGCCCCACACCATTACCACATAATACCAGAGTTAATCTGTCTTTTCATGTTTTATGTTATAGTTCCTCCTTTGTATCACTACACTTGCATTTTGGTACCATTTA